ACATCTAATAGAAAAAAAAACATGAATAATAGACAATAAGTTAGAAAAAATGTGAAAATTTTATTTCACTAAGAAAAAATAAAAAAGTAACATCTAATAGCAGAAAATTAACATGAATAATAGACAATAAGTTAGAAAAAATGTGAAAATTTTATTTCATTTCAAATTTAATGTGTACAAAAAAATAAAAATACATAGAGAAAAATAATACAATAGAGTTGAAGTAATAAAATAATAAAATTGAAAATAAAAGTTACAATGGGATTGGATTATTGGAAAATTAAAGATAGATTTAGTCAAAATACTCAAAAAAAAAGGCAAATATAGTCGTTGGCCTCCTCGAACTGCTATGCCGCACTGGTGCTGTGTGTGTCGTATCAGTATGATATCAAGGTCGTGTTGTACCAGCCTGCATGCCATGCCTCTAGGTCGTGCCTTGGAGGCCCAGTCCCCTCTGCAGCCTAAGCCCCACACAGAACTCTAACGATTCTGCCATGCCAAACATGGCCACCGGACCAGCCCACATTACAGTTCTCTATATCTTTTCATTGTATTCATGCATTTTGAAACCATATCTGTATCTAAGCTCACTGACATGATACTCAATTTAATTTCTTGACTAACCATAAACAACAATGAAAAAAAAGTGGTTAGAGTCAAAGAGCTTTGCCATTACCAATCATTCCGTTTTCCCATTTCTAGAATTTTGAATTCCACTACAAACTTATAATAATTCAAAATATCAAACATCTATTCAACTGTAGATGGGGTTAAGGATACTGACATGGACTGAACAGTTATTCTTCCAAATTTCTTTCTCGTGGGGCTGCTACACACCCACATCAGTCATATCACATACCTCAAATTCAGATTCTAATTTAATTAAGTGTACATAGTGATGACAATTTGACAATACCACCCCACCTAATTCAAAGACGTCTGCTGGCTGACATCTCCATTAAACAATATTTTATAAGATTAATCCTTGATTATTCAAAAATTAATGCACCTCATTTACGTCTAATTATGATATTACTCCGGTTTAAACTTTATAGTACAACCAAGGGGCCCTACATGTACGTGAGGAGGATTGACCGCTAAAGAACAAACCCCAATTCTTGGTTGACTGGATTGGTTAGTGGTGTAAGTCAAGTCAAGAGTATCTCATAGATTAGAGAATAATCGTTGTTTAATTACTAAGTTGGATGTTAATTAAGAAAAGAGATGAATTGGAAGTCATTAATTGATGGTTGATTAGGTTATGTTTGGTTGGATAGAAAAATGAGAGAAACGATGAGGGAAAGTTTTCTATAAGTTTTTTGAAATTGATAATTGAGAAATAAGGCTCCGTTTGATTCATGGGAATGTGGGTGTAGAGTCGGAATTGGAATGGATTATTCCGATTCTAACTGTTTGGTTGGGTGGAATCAAAATCCTATTTCCATTCTTGTTGGAGTGGCATTCCCCCATTTGAGGGAATGGCCATTTCCAGCCTCTCCCTTGAGAATGAAACCCTTTTCATGCTAATTCTAATTCCATTTTCATTTTTGTATGAGCCAAACAAACTATGGGAATGGATCATTTATCATTGCAATTTTGATTCTAGAGGATTTCGATTCCGATTCCGACTCTGAACCAAATGGACCCTAATAACTTTCCATTTCTATCTTATTTTCTATCAAACCAAACACATCCTTATTGTACTTTGGAACAACTGCTTGTGAGTATGACTCATGAGTTGCAAAACTTAATATACAAATAAAAGGGTTAATTAAACGTGTTTTATTTGTTGGAAACACAATGGATATTGTATATATAGATGATTCTTTTGATTGCATATTTACAATTAAGTATTTACAATAATAATCAAATTTATACATTGGCTCTGATAGAAAATTTCATCTCCAAACCCAAAAAAAAATAATAATAAAAGAGGGAAGATAATAAGAAGAACAAGATTTATGATAAAATACAAGACTGAGATTCCATGCATATGCACATATTTATTGATCAAAACTAGCATGAATTAATGGGTACCCATATCCTTGGACTGCACCCCTATTCCAAGAAGCAGCTTCTCTCTCACCCATTCAGCTCTCCATTCTTTATTGATCTTAGCAATGAATTCATCACAGCTTCCAGCTTCACTATCTTCATCATCTTCTTCATTGAGATCATCGTCGTTATCCTCATCATACCCATCATAACCATGAAAATCATCGTCTTCGTCATCAGAACAATCCTGAATATCATCTTTGCAATTCTCGTAACCATCAAGAGCATCACCATTACCGTTGTCATCATCATCAGAGTAATTCTCATCAAAACTATCTCTGTCATCGTCATCTACATCTTGTCTTTCCTCCTCCCTTTGATGTGCTATCGAAGGGAGTGACACAAACCAATAATCAAATTCTCCATCCGATGTCTTGGAACTACTTCCCAAAGATACTGCAACGATAATCAAGTTGCATATGCAAAACCTAAAAATGGGACTGGATTTCACCTTTAATATCAAAGCAAAGGCAGATAACAGAACACTGTGATGTTGGGAGATTGAAAGTGACAAAGAGAACACAAGAAGGGTGATGAGAGCTGCTGCCAGACACAAATGAAGAAATATGAGTGTAGGCCCTGCAAGCTTCATGCCCTTCTTCTACAAAGTAGTGTGTAATCTTTGAGATTTTTTGTTTCTTTACACAAATGATGAATTGGTTCCTTGGTCTTTATATAGAGCCTTGAAAGCAGATTTAATTATTAGACAAAAGGAAATTTTCCTGGAAAGTCACAGGAAGGGAAATGGTAGTTTGGAAGTAGAGGATTACTTAGGTCATGTTTGGGAGTGCTTAAAAACAAGTGTTTATTGGAAATAAGTGCTTATTTGGGTGGGGACAGGGGCAACACCATTAAGCACTAATTAGAATTTGGGAAATAAGCTTAAAATAAGTGCTTATTTTTTAAGCCCAAATTTTCAGCTTTTTTGAAGTGCTCATACAATAAGCACTTATTCATTTTTTTCTCCCATAATTGTCCCCAGTGAATTTTTATAATATCAATTATAACCATTTTACAAAAACAATTTTACAAAGGCACTTTTATAAAAGTATAAAATTACTTTTACAAAAGTAAAGTATTTTGCGAAAGCACTTTTATAAAAGTACTCATACGAAAACACTTTTGTAAAAGTACTATTACATGAAAGCACTTTTATAAAAGTACTTTTATGAAAACACTATTACAAAAGTATTTTATGAAAGCACTTTTGTAAAAGTACTTTTATTCATTCACTTTGGATTGGATATTTTAAAAATTTGAAAAAAAAATGAAGGACAAAAGAGTTACACTTGCTTATTTAAGTGCTTATTGGAGAAAATGACCACTAAACACCCAATATAAAATAAGTGTTTATTTTTTAAAATAAGCACTTAAAAAAATTAGGTGCCAAATGAAAATAAGTGCTTATTCGAATAAGAACACTTATTTTTAACATAAGCACTCCCAAACAAGCCTTATTAACATTTGTCATATATATAGTTTAATATTATAAAGTCTATCTTCTAGATTATTTTGACAAAGTATATAATAGGTATAGTGACATGAAGTAGCTCATTTTATAAAGTCTATCTTCTAGATTATTTTGTCTTGTCCCAAAAGACTTTTGATCGGTTGTCATTGGTAAGTAAGAGAACTAGCTCATTTTATGGTGATAAACTGCTCCAGCTTTCTAGTTGTGGATATGTGAATTTTCCATAGTAGACTTTCACTTTTAATTTGGTATATACATTTTGAAAACTAACTCATCAGTAGAGTTGAACCTTCTTCAAGACTTTTTTTTTTCCTTTTAATTAAGGGGACAAATTAGGACTTGTACCAAACTTTTATGAATTGAAAATTAAGGGTGGAAATTTATGTTAAGTAATACAATCGGCATAATTTGAATTAATACGATTAACATATTTAATTCTATAATTTGAATTAACACGAAATCAATATAATTAAGTAATTAACCTATTTAAACAATAAATAAATTTAAATAGTCAATCATCTATCATCTAAGCAAATTCATAAAAAACATTCAATATCATCATTATTTAAAATTTCAAATCATAGATAAATTATATTAACACATTTATTAATTGTGTTAAAATGGGCTGACATGATTCTGATATGAACATGATTAAATTAAACCTAAACCCACTAACTTCATATTGTATCAGCAATTAAGGCCCCTTTATCAAACCAATTTGGATCCGCTACCCACACCTATGACCTACCCACAAGACACTGTAGCCACGAATAAAAAACATCTCCCCTACTTGAAGAGTTTGGCTTCAAACCCATGCCCACACCGTTTTAACAGCCTTTTGCAACATTGTATTGAGAATATCTCCTATGCACAGAAATATTCTCAATGCAAGGCAGAAAAGGTTGCTACGAGATTTGCCCTGACTGAAGCCAAACTCCTACTTGAATGTTGTCATTCTCAGCAGAGGTTCCCGAGGATATAGTACAAATACAAAATATGTAGAGTGCAAATCCCATATTTTGTATGTATTTTGTATGTATATATTCGCATTTGTACTCTTTCCAAACTGAGCCTTAATTTCCTCTTTCTTTTGAGTCAATGCTGAGGGATCCATTTATCACTTTCGTTTTACCGACCTTTCCCTTCTTGCTTTGCTTAATGAAGAAATCACTCATCTGATGAGTGATGCCCTAGGCTCCCCGGATATATAGAAACAGAATTCTTGTTGAACATTCAAACTTAATTGATAGTAAACCAGTCGTCTTCTATCTTATTAAATTTACTTTGATGTGGTCTAATAGCCCATACATGATTTTTATCATATAGATTATAGACCACTTATCTTGGTAAGTTTGAATAATATAATACGATATGTTTTTCAAATAAACTAGGGTTTTAGTTTTTTCAGATAAAACTGAAACATTCATGATTTTTATCATATAGATTAAATTTACTTTGATGTGGTCTAATAGCCCATACATGATTTTTATCATATAGATTATAGACCACTTATCTTGGTAAATTTGAATTACGATATGTTTTTCAAATAAACTAGGGTTTTAGTTTTTTCAGATAAAACTGAAACATTCATGGCTGTTATGACTTTTGACTCTTCAGAACACATGCCCAATCCCTTTTCCTTGTTCCCTTCCAATTGTGGATATTCTAGGTGACAGTGAAGGATCACATCCGTCCACGTGGTAGGAAAGGAAGAGTTTATGCAATTCCAGGCATATATACGTGGCACTGTTCTACAAACACACTTGGCATGAGCATGTAAATATGTAATACATATTCTTTTCTTTTTTCTATTCTATTTTTCGTTAAGAAGCATTTTGTTTTTATGAACCAAATAACTCCACGTTTTGAAAATCCAAAATATACAACTCCCATGAATCTGGCATTGGTATCTTGTAATTCAGTAATTCTTTGATTCTTTCTGGGTCTCAGGTTCTCTCTAAATACTAATTCCATACCTGGAGAAATAACCCATTTTATATGGTTCACCTGGAAAAAAGAAAGGAAATTATTTTTGGAGGAAAGAAACCCGAATCCTTACTGGGCATCATTCTCTTTTTGCTATTATATTAGAAACAAATAAATAAAGAGAAACTGAAAAATGTAGCTACCTTGTCAGGGATCATCACCTAAGCAGCAATCTGCTTAAAATCATAATTGTATTAACTTCATAAATTTCATCTTCTGCCAAAATAAAATCAGTGTCAAACATAATCAGGTGACTTGGAAAATATCAAGGGTAAAACCCCCATGGTCCGAATAAGAAAAACACAACTTGGTCAGAAGAATAATGGCAACACATCATTCTCATCATTAATCTATCAAAACACAACAGAAAAAGATACATGATAACAAATTCATGTCAAAGCCCACCTAACCAGCCTACAGATCAAGGTCCTATCTAATAAATTACCAAACCTGAGTTGGAATTCTAAAGGCTGCAAAACCCCAACCCATCCATTAGCATCAACTAATCAACGAGTTTATATAGATAGGTAAGAAACAGAAGGTAGTGAGTTTCAATTCTCATCTAAGTTTTTCCAACACAACCAAGACCAAGGTACAAATCCTGTCAGAATCCTCAAGTTGAATGGCTTAGGTAAATCCTTCAGATTAACCCCCTGGCAAAGATATATTAATATCAGTAGCTGAATTCCTGGACTCTGGCATGGACTGTAGAGATGACCAATTGTCTGCACGGAAGGAAGATGAAGACGCAAGATTTGGCTTAGGTGTGGCTGAATTCTGCTGTCCCTGACCATTATAACCCTCTTGCAACTCTGCATTAGGAACCGGAATAGCAGTGGTTGGTGTGACAGTTGACGTAACCTCAATTTTCTGCTTCTTGGGTTTGTGCTCTAGTTGAGTGCTAGGCAGAAAACTTCCCACCACAACCTGGAATTAAACATTACAGAATTTAATACAAGTATTGGCTCTTGGAATGTAGCCAAAACACAATGGAAATGATCATGTTATTCAATGTAGAGACTCAAGATTGATCAGCATTCCCAGGGTCTGCATTTCTGGCCATAGAAATTTGATCCTTTAGAAATTGACTCATCACATCTTAACCTAAGGTGGCTAAAAGCAATTGCTTAAATCTATTGGTCATTATATCGAATTGATTTACAATCCAAGAAGGTTTCCCTCATCTCGGTGCAGTGATCCGAATTTGCAAAGCCAAAAATGAAGTCCAATAACACAGCAACAAAATTTAGAGTAATGCATTCTGCAGAAACAATTACCTGCACTGGGCTAGCAGCTACTAATAGGCCAGCTACCCCTCCTCCAACAACCCGGCCATCTGGGCTTGACAATGACACACTCATTCCACCAGATCGGCTCCTAGTTCCTCCAGTCTCTGAGGGCATGAAGGATCCAGACAATGAAAGTATCTCAAAACGACCCTACAAGAACAACAGGAGATACATCACTGTATATTATGACAAAATCAGAAAAAGAGGATCATAATTAGAGGAAGCTAGACAACAACCATGATTATGGACCAAATCAAGACTCTTACATTTCAAAACCTGTACATTCAAATGAGATTCAGATATCTTGGAGGGTCGCGTCCATTTTCCCTTAACAAGTACCCAAAAGCATGCAGATTCCAAACTCCGTTGAGCACTAAAATAAGTCCATAATGTTTACTGAATTTTGTGTGTTATTCTATATTATATTTTTGCATTGCATATAAATATTATAATATGACACATACAATACATATTATATGTAATATCTTGTATCATCATCACCATCTAAACCTTATCCCAACTATATGGGGTTGGCTACATGAATCCTGTTTCTCCATTCTGTTCTGTCCAGTGCCACATCCATCATTCAATTATAGGCACTTAAATCATTTCTTACTACTTCCAAGTTTCACCCAAGTCCTTTTCAGTTTGCCCCATCTCTTCTAGCCCTTTCAACTCGTAACAGTTCTTCTAACAGGTGCTGTAGATGTTTTTTTATGCACATGAACAAACCAACTCAGTCTACTTTCTCTCGTTTTATCACCTATTGGAGCTACTCTTAGGATCCTTCATATGACTTTTGTTTCTGACCCTGTCTTTTATCCGGGCCCAGGATTATATTTAAAGCCTGGGATCCAGGCCTGGACAAGCTCCAATGTCTGGCCCAGCCCAACCTGGGACCAGGCCCAGACATGTATTATCAGGCCCAGGGTGCAGGCTGGATCAGACACGGGCAGGACTCAAAGCCACTAAATGCCTTGTAAAACCCAGCTCAGTCCATGATTAGCCATAAGCTGTACATTGGACTATACAAAACGTGCTTTCAAAAAATTAAAGAAACAGTTTCCCAAGATGAAAAAACCATTGTGGTTGGACTCCTTGAGACTGCTTCCAAATACTTAGGCGTGAATATAAAGGGACTGTCAGATAATTTTTGTATTGGCGTAAAAGTTGGATACAGTTGTTTTGTTCAAAATTTCTTTGATTCCTTTCCTTCCACACCATCCAAATGATTGCAGCAGGGAATATACTCCACAAGCACATGATTCTCCCTCTTCTCATCAATCACTGTATAGATCCTAGGAATAGCTGAATTAAATAGCCAGGTTGGCATGCTTGCATATTGAAGCAAGAGAAAGCCAGACCCTAGTTGATGAGTGTCAATTGGGAAGACGAAAACAGCAAAGAAGGTATCATTGGTAATTGAACTTAAAATAAATCCTAGTCCTTCCTGTCCAAGATTGGGTACACTGAGAAGACCATCAATAACATGCAACCCCCTTTAGATTTCCATGCTGTTCATTTGTATGCCCACACACAGGATATGATCTATGGTTCAAGATTGAGGCCCTGTTTGGTTCGTGGGAACAGGGATCTGGAATTGGAATCAGAATCGGCTATTCCGATTCCAACTGTTTGGTTGGATGGAATCAGAATCCCGATCCCATTCCTGCTGGAATGGCATTCCCCCATTTGAGGGAATGGCCATTCCCTGCCCCTTCCTTGGGAATGAAATCCCATTCCTGCTGATTTCAATTCTCATTCCCATTCCTGTCTGAACCAAACAGACTATGGGAATGGACCATTCCGATTCCGATTCAATTGTGAACCAAACGGACCCTGAGAATGCTGAGCAAATCATCAAAAAAGTGGAACCCTGTTATGGACGCCTTCCTCGGGAAGACGTACCATCGCCGCCGGCAGCAACAGGCCCCGGGCCCACCGCCAGCAGCAGCAAGGATTCAGTGATGCTCATCCTACCCAGTTCGGCAACAGCAGCCTTATCTAGATTAGATTAGCTCATTTTGCTTGTTCTTATCTTATTGTTCTTATCTCTTATCTTAT